TTCAGTTAAACACAGTCAGTTTTGGAACGTAAATATAGTTGATAAAGATAACGCATGTTGTGTAACAGTATATTGGATCTGTACATAAACTATTAAAGTGAGAGCAGCCTAATATTCCTGCTGCTGTCTGTAATGTTAAATTGTTAATAAAATAACAAAAGACAAAGAAAATCACTCTCTGCTCTTGACTGAATAAGTTTTAGAACTTTAATCTGTATTTAATGTTTGCAATGAAGACTATTCAGTGTTATTTTACATTTGATTACTTTAATTTCTGTAGTATTTCTTACCTGAATAATAACCTACTGTTAGACCCACCTGAAAAAAAGTATGTTTATTTCATAGCTCTCTTTATTCTATTGCATTTATTTGTGCTGTTGTTTGCAATTTGTTTATTTGTTCTTATTTAATTACTGACTTTTTACTTGTGTTTTTTTTAATGAAAATAAAACTTTGCATTGAAGTAGATTTTTGTTTGTATATGCTGTCAATTATAGTTCTTGGAAAGAAAATCGGAATTGGCAAAAATCGGTATCGGCAGGTCAGACTTACAAAAAAATCGGAAATCGGAATCGGCTAAGAAAATTGCAATCGGTGCTGCATCTTATTTTGATTGAGTAATAATTGGATAATATTTTTTTGTGGTAATAAAAATATAACTTGGTGAACAATAGCCTTTAAAATGCAAAAAATAAAATAATAATAATCAAAAGCAAGTAATATGGTTTTATTGAACAACACAGTTTAAAATACATAATGTAATGAACTATAAACAATAAACAACTTCTGTACGTATTTTATGTATGTGTTTTATAACAAATGCCTGTAGAGGGTGCCAACGGCCAGCTGATTGTTGTTGTTACTAGGGATGCAGCGATTACCGGATTTCACAATTAACCGCGCTTTAAAACGTCACGGTTAATTAATCGTAAAGACTATGCTACACCGAGTGTTCTGCAAAGTACGGAACTTTTGCACCTAACACAAAACGAAAACAAAGTTACACCAGCGGTGCACCAGCTTAAAGTGCCGTGCTCGTCAACCACTATGGCTGAGGGACTAAGCAGCGACGCTCGATTTCCACCGAAAAAACACCTTAAGTGCGTGTTCACATATCGCGTCTTTTGCGCGCTCAAGTTCGTTATTTCAAATGTATGCGCGCTCATAATGGAAGCGACGCGGTCGTTTTTCCAAGCGCGTCCGCGCCGCATCGAGATAAAAACATCTCTACTTTTCAGAATGCCGCAAGCGCACCGTTGGTCAAGTGACAAGAACTAACACAGCAATGACAGACGCCTCCGGAGCGCAACCGCCCTAGCGCTTTGGAAAAAGGAGAACGCGGCGTGCAACTTTCAGCTTTCAGTGCAACGTAAAAAAAAAACAATAACAAAAAAACAGCGGAATATTTTGGTTACGCAAGTCTGTGGAAAACCAACATAAGAAAACTAACATAAGATCATGTAGACTTCTAGGACTACCAATTAACTGCATTTCAGTTATTAATAACACTGCATGAGAGATGTTCTCAGTTTCTTTCTATAATTTTTACTTAAACTTCAAACAAACAAACCAAAATAATGAGATTATAATAGATGATTTTCTAAAGGCACATGTAAAATTTGGATTAATAATTTAAAAAAAGAGTATTAAAATAAGTACAATAATATTGGTGGATAACATTTGGACTATATTTTTTTTCTTTTAAAAGAAATACATAGGCCTAATATTTAGCTTGCATTTAATTCAATAGAGCCAGCCAAATACTTTGTTTATTCTTATTTTCATTGGCATTTATTATCCCTTTATTTATGTTTTTAAGTCAAATACCAACAAGATATTGTTTTCATGTTATCAAGTTTTCTACCTCAGGTTGAAAATAAATTTAGAACAAACTAAAAACTTAATAATTTTGTGATCTATTTCAATCAAAGAGTCTTGCAGCCTTTGACTTAATTTGTTATTTTTAAAAGAAAAATGCTGGATGTTTACAAAGCACTTCTCTTTAATTCCAAAGGAAGAGATTGATTATTGTTTGCCATTTTATAATTTTGTACTGTGTTGTGGCAGCAATAAATAACACATTAAAATCTAGTGCTGAGTGTTCATGTGATATTATACATTAGTAGTGTTGTGAAATTAATTGATGCATAATAATCGTGATAATCGTTAAACCGTGATTATTTCTCAGACAATAATCGTACTTAGAAAATCTGTAATCGTTGCATCCCTAGTTGTTACACTTTACAGCATGATCAAATCCTTGTTTAAAGGTGCTATATGTATTTTTTTGCGGCCTCTATCGGTGATGTTTCAGATTGCAACCAAATTTTTGCAAGAGCGCTCGTGCTCGTGCTCTTGCGCATGCTCGGACACAAGAGCGAGCACTCATGGTACCGGCCAGACTTTCAACACACCGGAGAAAGCATCACACAACATGCTGGAAGCTCATGTAAACTCCCACTGCAACATTACAATAATAGGCTACTTTTATCATGCTTGACGTTGAACTAATGCTCCATGCTCGTACCATGATAACGTTACATTTGTGGAGACTTCACATAGAAATAGGAATACTGGCCTTCAGAGGTAATAGCAAAACCCGACAAGTGGATCATTGTAATGTGTGATTACAACCCCTTCACACACAGGCAATAAAAAAAGGATTCATTTTAGAAGAAAAGTTACATATAGCACCTTTAACTTTTTCCAAGGCAGCTTTTTTTTTTTAAAGTTGCCAGACACCACCAGCATTTTTGATCTTTTTCACAAAAATGTCATGCCCCCCCGGAATATTGCGTTGTATGAATATATGAACATGCAATAGGCCTATATCAACAGAAAGAATAGAGCCTCTGCTTTTAAACAAAAACCCGTTTTATTCTAGCTTAATGCATTCTTTCTTTTATTAACACTTGAATGTGTGCAAGTTTTTAGGCTTGCTGCGATAGTCGGTGTTGCCAGTGTTCAGCCACAACACCGGTTACATCACTTGCCCACCGCAGCACCATCGTTTAGATTTTTTTATTGTAATAAAATGCATTCAGTTCAGTTAGAGAACAGACACAACAGTTAAAAACTGGACGCGCCTGCTCTATTCAGTGAGCCGAACGAGAGTTTCAGCACAGATCAGCAGCAGGAGTCAGATTTAACCTCACTTAGCCCATTTCGCCTCACTCCGTCTTGACTGACAAGACCACGGCGGAAGATTTGGTCAAATGTCAAATCTTGTTCTCCTTACGTGTCCACTGACGCGGGGAGAACGAGCGTTTTCAGTTAATTCCAATCGAAGATGAGCTTCCACTATTGCTCTGCTCTCTGCTCATGTATTACAGGTGTTGTCAATTAAATATTTCCCCTAGTAAGTTTCATAGAAAAAGCCACATTTTGAGCAAACGTTTTTTTGTCAAATACTATATCCAGATCGGATTCACAAAGATGATCAAAACATAGATAGAGTAGATCGAGTCCATCAACACCCCCAAAGCTTGCATAGTCCTATACCTCGTCCTGGGTTGACATTTCATTTGGTAATATTAGGCAGTTTTGATTTATATGCCGTTTAATGTTGATGATCGCATTGTTTTACATATGCAGCTGCTTATATGCTATTGCTCGTTTCTGCTTCTTTTGATCAGGAGATTCAGTACTCTTTCAGAAGATGTGTAATATCACCCCCTAACGTATAACAGTGAAAACACGGAAAGTATGCTTTCTACGATAGTCGGTGTTCAGAAGCCGAATTCGAGCTGATTTGAAAGCGAACAATAACCCTATGAAATGGTTTTAATACCTATATCGTGCAGCGGCTGCAGCCTTAAAAATGGTCTGGTAATGCGGTCCATTGATTCTCATCCGTGGAATGTGCCAACTTCGGTCTTTTGCTTGTTTAACGACATGGGTAAATTGCAATCGAGGATTATTTTCAACCAAGCATTTGAATTTAATAGAGGAATCATGACAGTCCTATCTTGTAACGAAGTTTGAGACAGAACAACATAATGCAAGCACTGTAAAAGGTTTTGCCACAAACTTAGACAGCTTTTACCTCGATGAGAAATAACGTCACGTTTTAATATCTTTTAGCACTTAGATCTCATCACCACCCTACAATTCAACCATTTAAGATTATTAGTTATATTTACTGTAATTGTCTGTATAATTTCTTTTTTAAATGTGTGACATTAGCATTTTAACTGTGTGACATTTAGACCTCCAGCATTTGAGGCGTGAGATTTGCTGTTACCAAGAAAGTCTTCCAAGTCAGCCAAGATTAAGATTTGCAGTGTAACTTATGTGAGATAAGTGCTGCTAACTTTAATACAGAGGTGTAAAGATCAGCTTTAATGTTTCTAGCTCAGTGGCTAGATCATGTTTGTGTGTAAATGTCTCTACGGGATGCCAGAAATGACTTCCCTAAACACTCTGGTTTTGAAGCTATAGATATTAAACATTCCAGCTGTAGAGGCGTTTCCTGTCAACAAGCGAATGCCAGTTCAGTTCCATGCACTCTGACCAGGATCCTCCTCCTTTCCTTCCTCCGTAGTCATTCTCCCTCTCCCTTCCATGTCACTACCCCCCCAACATGCGTAACCACACAGCTAAGATTTCACTACCAGAGACATATCAAATGTTTTGGTTTGTTTGGTAATCTGTAGATATAAGTCAATCGTGCTGGTAAATATCTTGCTTTGATCTATGTGTGTGATTTATGTGTATTTATTTGTTTGTAAAATAGACTGATAAAGTCTGATTTGCATGTTTCAAAAATGTGTAGATTTTGTATGTTTATTTGTTTGAGTCTGTGCTGTGTCTCAAAAGTCTTTGCCAACATTCTCGTTTGACTTTTCAATTATGATATTCAACGATTTCAACAAGCTGTGCCATTGACAACAAGTGTACATGTGCGTGCATGTGTAGAGAATTACAACAGACACACACACACTGATACCTTAATTGAGCCGAAGTAACGGTGTCTGACCATGCTGTATTCCCTGCAACAGAGTCTGGCTCCGCCTCTTCTCCATATGATATGACATCACTCTGCGGTTACCACAGAAACCAGGGCTCCACTGCAGACGGTTGACAGCCAGGCAGGTGAGTTATTATTGTGATGTTGGAAAACTGCAGACAAAGCACAATGCATGTGCATTTGCATGTGCATGGCAATTGCATGTGCATTTACACAGGTATGTGAATGTGTTATGAATCACGGTTTCGTTCTGTGTAAAATGTGAGTGTCTGTGTGTTGTAAAAGTCTGCATGGCAATTTAAGTGTGAACACGTGTTTGTATTAGCGCACAGCTTCCAAGAGCGACATGTGTATTGCATTAGCAAAAATGGCTCTCTGGGTTATTTTGTGAATTCCTTTTTTTAATGTGTATTTGCCTGTAGTAGCAGGATTTTCATGCACAGACCTGTCTCAGTCTGGACTCTTAATTCAGCAAATTGATCCCTCCCTCCTGGGCAATGTCCAATCATGCTGATTTAATACACCCGCACACACACACACACCCTCTCTCACAGCGTGATTAATGATGTGTCAGTAAAACGTGCATTGTGCTCTTGTGAGCTCTTTATCTCCCAAGTCCACAGTGGTGGGGAGGAAGAGGGTTAGATAGCATTTTTTCTTAAGGTTCATACCGTAGACACCCCACTACAACAGCATTTCATAGAACACTGTATTTGTTTTGTGCTATAAAATTATAGTGCAGGGATTCTGCTCGGCATGTTGGATGTTAAAGGGTTAGTTCACCCCAAAATGAAAATTCTGTCAGTAATTACTCACCCCCATGTTCTTCCAACCCCGTAAGACATTCGTTCATCTTCGGAACACAAATTAAGATATTTTTGATTAAATCTGAGAGCTGGGTCACTCCTCCATAGGCTTCTAAGGGATCGAAACTTGCCGGCCCAGAAAAGTTAAAGACATAGTTAAAATAGTCCAAGTGACTACAGTGGCGACATCTTAAGTTTATCAAGCGACGAGAATACTTTTTGTGCACAAAAGACAAATAAAAACAATGTGCGCTGCGCAGTTACACTACGTGAACTATCTCGAGGCCCACAGAGAAGGAACTGAATAGTTGAATAAAGTCGTTATTTTTGTTTGTTTTTTGCGCACAAAAAGTATTCTCGTCGCTTGATAAACTTAAGATGTCGCCACTGTAGTCACTTGGACTATTTTAACGATGTCTTTAACTTTTCTGGGCCGGCAAGTTTCGATCCCTTAGAAGCCTATGGAGGAGTGACCCAGCTCTCAGATTTAATCAAAAATATCTTAATTTGTGTTCCGAAGATGAACGAAAGTCTTACGGGGTTGGAAAACCATGAGGGTGAGTAATTACTGACAGAATTTTCGTTTTGGGGTGAACTAACCCTTTAAGTAGTGCTGAAACTGGCCAGTGGTTTCAACTGACTCCAGACTTTTTCCAACCAACCTAAAGGAAGGTCTACAGTCTGACAGCGATTACCTGCGATAACGCGACCGGATATCATTCTCATTTTCAATGAGAGCCTGTGATTTCTGGTGACATGAGTGACAGTTGGCAGTGAGACAGTGTTGAGCAGAGCTTAACTTTCTGCAAATGAGCAGTGAAAAGATTTGGAAAGAAAATGACCAAAGGGAGTGGAGAAAGTGATCTGTGGCCAGATACAGTTCAATACCGCGACAGTTTAGGACCGCCCTCTACAAACTGACAGCCTAGGGACTGTGCTATATCCAGTGATTTAATCACTGTTAGTGTGAATGCAGCTTGAAATGTAATATGATTAATTTAAATGATTGTTAGCTAACTCAATATCTGATTTTTTTATTTCTTGTTTCAGGTGGTGTGATGGCTGCCCAGGTTGAGGTTGATGCTGGGCGGCCATGTGTGGTTGGGAGTCGTCTGCACCTTAATCCTCTCATAGACTCTAGCAACAAGAGCTTGATGGAGAGTTCAAGTGGCCCCCAGGGGACACTTACTATTTCATCAGAGCCTAGAAAACCTGTCCCAGGCCCCAAGCCCAGACTCACTCCAAAACCCTTCACTGTGAACAAAAATCCTACTATACGCCCCATTCTTGCTCCCAAACCACAGCCAAAACCTAGACCTGAATCCAGTCAACCAGTTTCCTACAATACAGACCTGCCCAGTACACCTAAACCACAGCCAGCCAATAAACTCAGTCTACCATCTGCCTTTAATACAGGGCCGAAGCCCAGCGGACAGACAAACAAACCTGTGGCACAACCCTTTAAACCAGCACCTACTATTGCCTGTTCTGATTCCAACAAATTAAGAACGTACCAAACTGGGGATGTGCTGAGAAGAACAAGCTTTGGAGCCACACCGGCGCGACTCAAAATCGATGGTCATGCCTCCACTCCTGGTGTTGAATGGCCTTTTGCTTCTCGGAAAAAACAGGCCAGCCCTTCGATCACTCGTGCTAAATCAATGGGCTTCCTATCAGAGATAGGACTGAATTATGAGGACAGTAAAAAAGATTCTGGTACCAAGGAAGAGTTTTCTCCTACTGTTCTTCGGCCCCAATCTAAAGGTTCAAGGCCCAGGCCGGTGTCAGCTGTGTTCCTCCAAAACCCCAATCAGTCTGAGACTCAGGTTGTATCCCCTACACCTGCCCCTCGTTGGGGAAAAGGACGACCCCTTTCATCTGACCTTACCTCAAAGTTTGAGTCAATTGGGCTTTCCTTAAACTGGCGACCTCCCAAGGAGGACAGCAAAGAAAACACTCCTGAAACACTAGAGGGTGTTGGTCCTGTAGCTCAAGAGAAAGAACATGGTGCTGAAAGGGCAGAAGGGCCGAATAAGGCCCCTGTGCTTGAGAAAAGTACTCAAAAGGAGGAATTGAAAGATGAGGACTCCAAAAAAAACTCAAAACCTGAGGATACTGGAGGTAGCAGTATAAAGAGACGGATCAGCCTGCTTTTGGACTCTTCTTCCACATCCTTCTCAGTGGCTCGTGTTGATACTCCAGAGACGGACCCTCGCTCACCGGGGCTGTCCATCTCTGATACTGATGGAGCGGTGGGGGTAAAACAGCGCATCAAGGAACTGACCGAAGAACTGCCTACTACGCTATCACCACTCCAGAAGCCACAATATAAGCCACGGAACATAGTATCTGACCGTACTAAAAGGTAAGATCCAGTGGTTTCCAGCATTCATTATTGAAGTCTACAATGTTAGTGCTGTAATTCAGAAAATTACAGTTGTACATGTTAATCTGTTTCATGTTCAATTTCATGTCCATCAGTTAATCAGCTATCAGCGTTGCTGTAGTTTTACTGCCTTCGGGTCCTCCTGAAAAGTTTTTATGAATAAGTTTAATCAGTCGAAATCACGCAACTGCAGCAAAATTATTATTAAAGGATCTACATTATGTGCATAAGTATTTTTTTGTGTGTTTGTGCTGGCACAGAGAATTCTAAAAAGTGTAATGATGTCTCAAAACATATTGCCTCATAAAACAGCACAATTAATACCAGTTTGCTTTCATCATGATTTACATTCTCTACTCTGAAAATCAAGGCTCAAAGAAAATACAGTTTCACACTGGTAATAATGTGGTGGCATTCATTCATCAGGTTCTTAAAGGGATAGTTCACTTTGAAATAATTTTTTGATATGTTTTAGCTTACCTCAAGGGCATCCAAGATGTAGGTGTCTTTGTTTCTGCAGTAATTTCAATTTTGATATTTTTAGGTCAAACCGTTCTTGTCTGTCAGTCATATAATGCAGGTCTATGGTCACCACCTCAAAGAGCATGCATAGAGAAGTCCAAATTAAACATGATTTAATGACTCGTAAATGTAAGTACACATTGATGGCCTAAGACACGAAACGAGCGGTTTGTGTGAGAAAACAAACATTATTTATATCGTATTTACCTCTTGTAATCACAGCCTTGTCCAAGTTATCTGAGGGCGCGGGTGCTTCGGTCTATGCGTTACAAGAGGTAAAAACGATATAAATACTGTTCGTTTTCTCACACAAACCGCTCGTTTCGTGTCTTAGGCCATCAATGTGTACTTACATTTACGAGTCATTAAATCATGTTTAATTTGGACTTCTCTATGCATGCTCTTTGAGGAAGTTACCATAGACCTGCATAATATGACTGACAGACAAGAACGGTTTGACCTAAAAATATCAAAATTGAAACTACTTCGGAAACAAAGACACCTACATCTTGGATGCCCTTGAGGTAAGCTAAAACATGTAAAAAATTAATTTCAAAGTGAACTATCCCTTTAAGATCATTCCGATGAGAACAGAAAGCAGTATTTGTGATTTGCTTACAGATTTGAATCAGAGCTTGACAGCCTCAGTTCCAATGAGTCCAAAGGCTCCCAGCTGGTTGAGGAAGATCTCAACACAAAGGTATGGGAATGTGAACCACTGCCATTAGTCATACTCCACTAATCAATTATCTTTACAAGGTGCAGTAAGGCACACCTTGTTTTTTTAAAGTAGGCTACATAAGACAATTTTACATTTTATTGAACCTTTTCTTTTTTTACCAATGACACCACAGCATACTCTGTTGACTATTACATAAAAGTCAATAACAATTTGGCTGAACTAATTAATTGATAGTTACTGATGATTTATAATATATATGTGTATTAATATTGAACATTTTCTGCATTTTTCTCGAGTACAGAAAACATGTAGCTCTTTATACAACAAGAGCATTCTATGTATTCTATGACAGTCACATGTGCTTGATAAATACAAATGATATATTTTTTAAATGAATAGAAAAATCCTTTATGACATTTGGGACAGTAACTGCCTAATTGCGGTCACAGTCTCAAAATGAACATTGCTCACTCTTTGGAAATGACCAAAATAAATTTCCAATACAATGAAAAAGAAATTTCACATTGAGAGAGAGAGGAATAACAAATGAGGTTGAAAAAGGCACTTCTGATGTCACAGAAGGTGCGGCACTCCAAAGACGTGTAACCTGAGTTGTAGCGTTAGTCATATTGTGATTATGAAACATCCACGCTTCGAAGGGAGGGGGGTGGGAAAGGTCAGTTTGTGAGAGAAGAGGATTCTTTGATTATGGCCCCTTCATGCCCCACCCTGCTTTATGAGCTTTGACAAAGAGCATACGGATCCCATTTCACTGTTCTCAGTCACACGCGTCAAGCTCCTCTCCCTTTTCATGTGCTCTCATGTTTGCTTCTTTCTCAATACTACCCTCTTTTCAGGACTTTCTATGTTTATTAAAACCTTCCCAATACAATCCACATTAGTTGTTTCCAGCTGTTTCGTTATCTTGTACTTCCTCGTTATCTTTTTTTATACACTTCTCTGTGAAAGAATAACTTAGATAAGCAATTTGCAAGATTTGATAATCTGTTGTGTATTCAAATGAGACTTCATTGCATTCTTTCTGTTGCTGATTTGATCTTTGGAGTAGAAACATATTCATTCCCCTTCAAAAGTTTGACTCTAAATCAGTCATGTAATACACATACTGTACACAGCCATCAGGTAGGGTAGGGGGGAGGTGGGAGGGGGGTCGTCACAGGCTGCTTCTTTAGGGATCACAGTTGTAGAAAATCTCATCTTGTCTGACTGAAAGTCAACCCAAGTTTCAGGTTCTTGCTTACTTTTCAGAAAAAGAGGCAAAACATCTGCAGATAAATCCAAAAAAAAGTTTTGCTTAACAAAACCAATGGCAAATGAAATGTACATATATACTTAATTTCATCTTTATTTAATTTTTTTAGTTTGATTACTCCACGATTGAAGGACAGTTCAACAAACAGGAGGACAGAAAAGTATCATCACTAGGAGTTCATGACTTGCCTACCCACTCTGCTTTTAATAGTGATGGACTGCAAACAGTACGAGCATCTATGTTTGAACATGTGGTAGAGAGGCATAATGTTCAAGTGATGGAAGATAGCATTTCACAAGGCCCAAGAGCACAGCGGGAAAGCACAATCAAACCCATGCCCAGACGGAGCCACTCTTTGCGAATTCAGGACAACATCTTTAAAGCTCTTGAAGATGATGATCCTGGAAGTTTGGTCAAAGCAACCTATAGAGAGCAAGTTTCTCCTTCCAGCCCTGTACGCGTGGAGCATGTCTTTGATACTGTGGCTTTGTTTGGCGAGAGCCGTGCTGTTAGTGAGGCTTTGCCAACCGCTCAGCTTGAGGACAGAGCTCTCACGCTACGTTCACGGCGATCAGCTCCTCAAGGTGAAGACGACAGACCTACCCATGGGATAAGTGACCTGCAAAAGGATGAAGCAGCCATTCCACGTTATCTCAGAGTTGGGGCACTACAGAAATGGACTGCCACAGAGGCAGACCGAGAGATTGAAATCGAGAGGGAACGACAGAAAGAGATAGTGAGAAAGATGGAAGAAGAGATACAGAGGCAAATAGAATTGCACATGGCTGCAGCAGCAGCATTGGAGGAAGATGAGGAAGAGAGTGAAGCAGATAGGAAGAAACTGTTAGAAGCACAAAGGGACAGGGAAAGGGAACGAGAGGATGTTGCTGCTCCCAAACGGCCTAAGATGCTAGATGCTGAAGAGCAAATTAACAAACCCAGAGCCACTTACTTTGCTCTGACAGGTCAGATTCAAGAGCCTGTGCATCAGGGTCAGAGAGAGGGTGATGAAGTAATTTTTGGAAGAGGTAAACAAAGTATGGTGGGTGGAGAGGACAGAGGGATGAAGGATGTTCCATTTGAGGATTTCACTCTTAGATCAGGGAAGTGGAGTTCTCAGAATCCAACAGCTCAATTTAGAAGAAATCCTTCATTGGAAGCTGCACTCCAGAGAGCTTTGCATGACAATGACACTGGAGTGAGAACAGATCCTAGATTACAAGAAAGGGAACTGCAAAAAGCATCCAGGGAGGAAATAGAGAAACAAAGACTTGCAGAGTTTGAAAAGATGAAGGAATTGGAAAGGCAGCGAGAAATGAAGAAACAGAGAGACTTGGAGGTTGAAAAACAAAACAAAATTGAAAGGGAGAAAAGGAGAGAAGCTGAGATACAGAAAGAGAAAGAGAGACAAAAAGAGCTAGAAAGACAGAGAGAGCTAGAGAGGGAGAGACAAAGGGAATTGGAGAAACAAAGGGAAATTGAATGGCAGAAACGAGAGAAGGAGCGACAGAAACAAATTGAATATGAGCGAATGAAGGCTGCAGAAAAAGAACTCGAGCAGCAGAGAGAGTTTGAGAGGCAACGACAAAAAGAGTTTGAGCGAGAGAAAGAGAGAATGCTCGACCAAGAGAGGCTTAGATTGAGAGAATTTGAAAAACAGAAGGAAATAGAGAGAGAAAGAGAGACACAGCTGGAGTTGGAGAGACAGAGGGAAAATGAAAGACAGAAGCAGAGAGAACTTGAAAAACAAAGAGAGATGGAGAGGCTAAAGGAGTTAGAAAGGCAGCGAGAATTAGAGAGGCAACGAGAGCTGGAGAAACAGAAAGAGCAGGACAGGGAAAGACAGAGACAGTTGGTAAGGCAGAGAGAACTGGACAGGCAAAGGGAACTTGAGAGACAACGGGAGTTAGAGAGACAACAGGAGATTGAAAGACAGAAGGAGATTGAAAGGCAGAAAGAACTTGAACGACAAAAGCAAGGAGAGATAATGATTGAGAGATGGAAGCGGCAGAAAGCAGAGGAGAGAGAGACCAAGAGAGAGCTGGAGGAACTTGAGAGGATCAAGGAGCTTGAGAGACAACAGCTTCTTGATTTTGAGTTGCAGAGACAGCGGGAAAGGCCACTCCAGCAAGAGAAAGCGAAACGGAGATCAAAAAAAGAACGAGAAGAGAGAAAACAGCAGCCTGAATGGCAGAGAGGAACAGAACGACATTGGACAGAGACAGAGCAAGAGAAGGCAACACCTACATCTCCACTTCGGCCTAAAGTTCTAGATCTGGATGCAGTGTCTCTGGGTGTTAGGACTGGTAGAGATAGCCACGAGAATAGCCCCACAGCTCGATGGAAGCAGCCCTCACTTCGACCTGATGAGGTTTACAAACCAGCTATCTTAGACATTGACTCGTTCAGGAGCCAAACCCAACCTGATACCTTCCCTTTACCTGGATTTGGAGGTTTAGAATCAGGAGGTGTTAGTTCAATGACTCAAGCTCGTCCACAGGCCATACAAACCAATATTCTCCAGCCCCAAACAGCATCTCAAGGTCAGTCTCCTTCTCATCCCCAGTTCCACCCTCAGTCCCAGGCTTTCTTCCAGCCCTCCCCAGCAGAACGTATGAGAACTCAACTTCCGCCACCTTTGCAACCTCAAATTATGCACCAAGCCCAACCTCATTCACAGCCATTTGATACAGAAAGACCTAGGCCACAACCTCAATCATTGATTGAGACCTCAGATTGGGCCTTTGGCACTCAACAGCCCATCTCAACTTTGCCATCTGCACACACTAATGTTTGGGGACATAATCAAGCAGAGCTGACTGTAGATGAGCCTCTTTGGGTATCAGCCATGGAGGGATCCAGAAGACCAATTAGCACTAGACCTGGTGGTCTTGAGCAGAAAATCTTGCACCAAGAGGATAGAGGTTTAAGTATCATTGCAACACCCAGTTTGACCTCTTCCATGATTCCTGCCTTTACTCCGGTACAGCATCCCTCTCTTGCACCACCCATGGTTCAAATTCAAACTCCTATGTGGACTACACAAACAAGTGTTGGTCCCTCTGTAGCCCCTATACTGACCCCAGAAAGATTCTGGACCTCAGGACCTTTGAATGTGGGGTCAAGTGGAGCTTTGGTTTCTTCTCCCGCAACACCATTAGCTAGGAAAGAGACATTGGTACCCACTAGTCAGGTTGCAACCTTCTCTGTCACTGATCCTTTATCAAGTCCAGACTGGGAGCTGGCATCCCAGGGGCTGAGAGAGAACCGTGCCTCGCACAGGGACACAGTACAACAGGTGAGGAAGAACTCACTCTCACATACACCCATTCCCACCATATAGTTTTTTGTGTGTGTTTAGCAATGCACAAATGTAAACAGTAATTATGTGCACCATCTTAAATTGGTCACTTTAATTGCAGAACCACCCAACTATCGGTATTGGCAAATGTACTTCAGAGTGATCAAATATCAGTGTCAGCGTATCCCTAGTTGTGTTACATTGAATTTTCCTTGAATGGACTAAAGAAGCTTGACTGTAGGCCCTTCTATGTTTGTGTAGAAACGTTCAAGGAGTATGTGTCGAAGATCTGCCCCAACGGAAAGCTCTGCTGATGGTCCGCTTGCCCACGTGAGAACTCGCAGAAGTCGCAGTGCGCACAAAGAAAAAGTTGGAGAAAGATCGGTAAGTAAAAGTATGCTGAGAATTTTGTTTTGTGTATTATTCCTTGTCACTCATTTTCCCATACACATGCACACATACATACACCTGTTAAGAATTAATTTTCTCTAGGGATAGGTAATCTATTTAATATTTACTCAGGAATGCGTCAATATCAAGTTTTGTCACTGCTGATTTTAACGTTTGCGATTGGATTGCAGTTTTGTACTTGGATTGTATTTTCTGTTTAATTCAGTTACACAAGTTTTTTTAATGATGTTCTAGGTACATTCAGACATTTTGGTTAAACAATACTGAATTACATCTGTTAATGGGATGAAGCTGAAAGTAGTCTACATTACATTATAAGATCTGAAAAAAAGTAGATATGCTAATATGTAGTGCTGCCGCGATTAGTTGACTTAGTCGACGTAATCGACCATGCAAATTAGTCAACAGCAATTGTTTTAGTCGACGTGTCGTTTTACTATTGACCGCTTATTTATTTTTGGTCTCCCGTCTCAAACGGCTCACTGTAATTCACCTCCACACACCAGTCTGTGCGCACTCTGCTGGTCAATCTGCTTTCCTCTTCCTTCCCTATCCCCCGCCTTCACTGCTTTGATATGAAAAATTGCGGAGGCAGTTGACGGTGACGGTGACGGAGGCAAACGCTTTCACACTGGGCTCGTTTGCTGCGGTCCGAGCCCGAGCACGATTGTTCCCGGCGACCCCGCAGCGTTGGTCTGGTTTCGCACTCAACTTATTTCTACCGAACCCTGGTGCGTTTGCGTGCATCTTGCGCCATCGCAAACGTGTACGACGCATGATAGAAAACAGAACGCAGAACGCAATATATATATATATTTTTTATTCATTCTGTGATATATTATGCGCCGCTGAGTGAACAACACAGGTGCGTGTGTCGCGTAAGGTGGCCTTCTGCTGCTTGCAAATGGACTCTTTTGAGGAGACTGGATTTCCAAATTTGCCGCCCTGATTCCACGCGCTATGAGCGAATACACTGCAGACTCACTCTTGCTCGTATCCAAGGTAAATCATCAACACTATCATCCCTTAAATGTGTTTTATTTAACTAAATACATCATAATCAGCTAAAACGCATGCGCAGGTCACTTTACTTCCTGAACAAGTGCGCACCCGAGTCCGTGTTGCTTTCACATTCACGCGAACCGCGGCACGGGCCGTCATGCACGCAAGTGTAAACCATAGGTGTAAACGTGAGCTGCATAGCTGCGTGCCTGCCTGCTTTCAGCACGATTCATTATTAGGCAGAGCTAAGCGTAGTAGGCTAGTCCAGACTCTTTCAATTCAATTCCAATTCATTTGTATAGTGCTTTTCACAATACATATTGTTTTAAAGCAGCTTTACAGAAAATGCATGCATTGCATCTACTTTAGCCTACAATTCAGAGTGATGTTATCAGTTATGCATTTCAAAAATGTATATATATAAATGTACAGTAAGCTAGTAATGTAATAATTTAAGGCAGAACAAAGAGCTAATTTAAGTAATGAATACATACATGTTAGTTAATAGAGGATTAGATTGGGACTCTGGCTAATAAGGTATAGTAATGGAAATGCAGATACTTATGCTTAGATTGTAAATACATACTGTTTTTCAACAGGTGACATTTTATATTTTGGCCCTTCAGTTGAGTTCAAAATAAAATGGACACAATTTTTTTTTTAAATTAGTCGTTTAGATTAGTCGTTAGAAAATTAGTCGTTAGTGGCAGCACTAATATGACTAATATGACAACTTTTCATAGCAGATTGTCATGCTATTGTTTTTATATTTGCATTTCTAAACAATAATGTACCATTATTTTTTTGTTACCAATTGTGATTTTAAAGTACTTAACGTTTTATAATGTAAACTTGTTACCTTGCCAATTAAGGTGCAAGCTTCTGCAAGATATTTTTCTTCTGTTAATTTTTCATCAAAGTCATCAATTCTCTCACTCCATCATCTAGTTTGTTACGTAAAGGAACAAGGACTTTTTGGTCAGTTCCTAACCTAAAACATTGTAAGGCTTCAGAAGACTTGTAATGTAGCACACAAATTGTTTGAAGCAAGTAAATGATGACCGAATGTCAATTTTTGGATGCACATAAGCCATTGCAAAATGATTACATCGATATTGAGATATATTTCAGATATTGTCAAAAGGCTGAAAAATATTGAGATGTAATTGCCCAGCCCTACATTGCACATGGATAAGCATGCATCTTACATAAGAGTCGAGTTCCTCACCATGTTCTAATGGAAAGTGTACAACAACCAAAGATGGAGAAATTGCTTGTTGGCTTCTGATGATGTCACCAAACTTTAGAGACCAGATGTTGGAGGAGTTCCCCAACAATGTGAATAACAGCTGTCATATGACCCTTTCTGGCATGCAGTGCTTGGCTAATGATGTTTTCCCATATCTGATGGACTTATAGGCTTGTTAAAGTGCAGATTGAAATAGTTATTTTGGCTGAGGGTCATTAAAGCTGAATGTTTATTTTTATATGCATGTTTGTCATTATGGAGGCTAACTCAAGCTTGTGTTTTTGTGTGTGTGTGTGTGTGTGTGTGTGTGTGTGTGTGTGTGTGTGTGTGTGTGTTAGTGTGGGTGGTGCAGGAATGCAGTCTGATAACAGAAAGGGGTAGTGCTTTAAAGTTTAGTGTGTAATGGTAGAGCATTTTCTAACAAAGATACACTGCTAGTAGCGAGTAAGATTGTGTAAATCAAGGTAAAACTGATTTAATAATGATCATGCAACAAATGTGTGGAAAAGTGTGAACACATTTATGGACAACATTAATTAAGTTTAAACGCGTTAAAGAGCTTAAGATTGCCTTCTTGGTTTTGATTGACAGGTTCATTGAAATTTCTTAAGAGTAAAGATTTTTGTTTTTACTGAGAGACTTTTGTCTTTTTCTGAGTGTATAAATATTGCCATCTGCTGTATGAATCGAGTTATTACAGTGTTGATTTTTATGGTTCACACTCACAGTGGCTATAAATTGTGGCTTATCTGACAGCCAAGAATATCCTCTTAACCTTTAATTTCATTAGAAATGGAAACCTTTCCAGGACCGATAGTGTGTTTATTATTTTAATATTTTTTTGTTGTTGTTGTGAACCTGTTATGTGGGTGTCTGCTGCACGTGGCCTTAAAGAGGAAGCTCTCTCTCTCTCTGTTGCTCTCTCTCATCTCAGTATTGGTCATCATAGGAAGAGTCATTTTTACATCACCGTGTACTCACGGGCACAGGCGAGTTACAAAGACAGAGAGAGAGTACAGAAGTAATGAACATTCAAATAAACTTCGCAAAAGTAAAGACTGTAGAACATTATTGTGGGCTAAATAGAAGATTTTGCTTCATAGAAAGATGGCTTATCACTTCTGTCCTTCCTGCTGTTGGTGGCTATGGGTAAGCTTACTTTTTTTTTACTGTCAAGATGGTAATATAACTACACATATCAAAACAATTCATGCTACCTGAGACAAGTAGACAAATCTAGATAGAGGTCTGATAGTATTAGACAACACACAAGTTGACTGATGTTTGATTGTTGATTATATTTGGAATTAGTCCTGATGCTCTTGCTGATTTTTGCTCAGTTGTTTTTTCTAGAGTTGATACTGTACATTCACAATCTTTATTGCACATTGTTTGGTGAAGTTGTTTCTTCCCCTGTGATTTGTACCATTCTGGTCAATAATATTATCTTCATGTGACTAAGGTGAGGCCTCTGTAGATGCTTCTTGTTGTCTGACTAATTAAATAGACATTGTTTTCCCTCTTTTCTTTTCATTTTCTTGGAAATTATTCAACTGTTTAGTTAATTTTGAATTAACTCACCCTCCATAAAAAAGGACTGTTCTTTGGTTTCTCTCTCCCCAGAATTTTTTTAATGAAACATATATGGTTTGGGGCTCAGGTAGTACAGTTTCTGCTGTATTGTGTAAATACGAGCCTTGAACCCATGCTCAGTATCATAAACATAGATATCATAAATTAGGGATTATAAAGCTATAGATTTTAAATTTTAAAAGTGACTGGCTATGTGCATCCTCCAGCATTAGTCATGTCACTTATGAATCTTTTGTGTATGCATAGCACATGTACGAACCAGTTATTTCAATGTAAATGCCCAAGCCTATCTTAAACACTGCACAATAAACTTATTCAAGCAACCAGGTCCAGTTCCCTTCTGCATTTTCATTGCATCAACTGTGTCTCTTTTAAAGTCACATGTCTGACTATAGGAGCAGATTAATATAAAGAAGCTGCCTCATTATAAAAGTCAATGCACCTGCACCATGGACCTCTAAATATGCATTTTTAGTTACTTTGCAGTTGTGTTTATGAAAGAAGTGATTGCTTTGGGCCAAGATCTTTCAGACTGTCGTAATTGGTATCAACATAGTATTTAAATAGTTAGCTGCTTTTAGTGATTGTTTTTTTTTTTAGATTGTCTACTTCCCAAAACTAACTGAGCTTCTTATTTAGAAATACATTTATTATAAAATTGTATTTTATACATTATAAAAATACATTTTGAGCAAGCAAATCTCTTGCTTCAACTCTTAAAAGCTGTTCTTTGCTATGTCAGAGGACCTGAGTCATAATACTGGGCTCAAATAAAATGACTGTCACAGTCACTATGTCATTTTTGGTCATCGTATTTCTCACAGATTTTGGTTTAAAATATGAAAAGCCAGCTACCTGTGTATGCTGTAGTTTTGAGCATTTATGTGTTAAGTGTTGACAGGAAGCAGCATCAGTCAGAATTAGCCTTCCTGTATGTGGCCATATGTGGTTTAAAGAGGAACATTAAACAATTTAGACCACTTGTTCCGTTTGGACTTTAGAATTACTCTGTTATCCTGATCTGGTTTGGGCAATAGGATGTAACATGCTTAGTAATACCTATAACTGCTGATCACATCAACCTTGATGGTATATTGTTGTCTGACCCTTTAAAATGTAATTGGGATAT